TCCATCAAACCAAAAGGATTCCCGTGAACAAACCTCAGCTTCATCCTCACACAGTGACTTTGCTCACTTTATATTCTGAAAGAATAAAAAATCCAGCTATTGGGTATGACAGAAAATACTCTGCCATAAAGCCACGGCGTGTTTACTGTGTGCACACAGTAAAGTGAAAGCAAAACAAAACAACAACAAAAAAGAAACCAGTTTCTTGCCTTATCTGTCAGGTGATGAATCTTTCCAACCTCATACCAGCAAAAGTCATAGTAGTATTGAGTATTGATACAATACATAGAAAATGTCAATAATGTTTAAACAATTGCTCATGATAACATAGAATTGGTTAATTAACCATTCAGTGGATTTCTAAGCACTTTGCTATGAATATTTGCACACAGACTCAGTATCTAGATCACTGTTGGGGGTTCCTATTTATCCTGGTTTAATATACAGCACAGTCTCTGCACTTGCAACTGGAATTAAAAGCAGTGTTGAGTAATAATCTGCACTTTGGACTTTGACTACTTGGTGCTGGAGCAGAGCCACACAGCTTTCCTTATGTCAGCATTGCTACAGAACAGAATAATTATTAAAAACAAATAAATGAATAAATAGAAGGTAAATATTACTATTGTTACTACTCCACAAGTGCCATTCCATGCCGAATTGTCATCCATGCTGATCTTCAGATTTAGATTAAATGCCTCAATACTTTGTGCCACAAAGAAATAAAGCTCTGTCTCGTGATTTTCACCACAGATTCCACTGATCTTCATTTCTTTGTAAGAGTCATTCCTCAAGTAAAAAAGAGGCACAGATGGATTGCATCTCACCAAGGGAATATCCTCTTACATACCCAATCACCTGGAATTCCCTAATGTTTATGGTGATACCACATTCTTGGAAGAACTGCAGTAAACTGCATCTGTCAAAATCACATGGGGATGTCACTGAAAATATCCGAGGTCTCTGTCAGGCACTTAGTGCTTGGAATCCCTGAGTCAATAGCATGCAATTAGCCTGCGTTTTGCAGAAAATGCCCCGGGGACCAGGGTTTTGAACCACTGAAATAAACGTCAAATTCAAGGACACACACTGTATTTGAATGGTGAAATTCTAGCTGACGACTGATGGCAGTCTCCAGCTCAGATTGGCCTGCCTGAAACTTTGAATGATCCGATGGATTCTACAGATCTTGCACACCTGAGCAATCCTGTTGCAGCCTATGAAGCTACTAGCTTTTTTTTTTTTTTCCCTTCATATTTATCATGGAAGACCAGAGAGTCTGTCTCATGATGGTGAATTTTTCATTTCCCATTCAGGCAGAACAAGTGACAGCTGCAGATGTTAAATGCTTTTAAAGAGAATCTGCTTTCTTCTTTTTTGGAGTGCTAGATTTCATTACAGAGAGTCAAACTGAGGGTTCTCCAAGTTCACTATCCTTCCCCCTTCAATGACTGAAGTTTCAAAAGGCAGCAAACCCCAGCCAACCTCATAGCATCTAGCCAGTTGTACTGTAATGCATATTATGCCCTTCCGTGCTTGGACTTTCAGGTGGTTGCTCTACCTGCAAATATATTCTGTGATCTATATCTTATGGAGCAAGAGATAAAGCAAGGCTATCTATAGATGTCAGTGATAGTCATACAATTATCCATTTCTTCTTAAAAATCTATCTGCACAAACTGACTCAATACTCTCAAGCGGCAGTGAATGCCATATGCTGACTCAATGCTGCATCTGGAAATATTTATTTTTGTCAGCTCTAAATTTGTTTCCTTAAATAGATACCACAGACCTGGTCTCCAGCCAAGATCAAGAGATATAGCTAAACCAAAGTCAATGGAGCTGAGTCATCATATTACAAGCTAGAAATGGGACCCTTCCTAAGACCATTCTTTGCTGCCATTATAAAGGATATTGTGTGATGGCCTCAGAGGTCACTGTTAATAAGGATCTACAGCAAAAATTGGCAAAAATTACAGCAAAAATCTACCATAACAACTATTATACTCTAAGTGATATCAGTCAGGGTCATAGCGGAGGTTCTCCCTTCCTGCACATGCACCAGTATTTATCACTTAACCAGAGCTATTACTTTAACAGGTAAGCATAATGATTTTTAAATCTCACAGCATAGCTCCAAGAGATATTTATTCCTTGTAGCTAACATCCTTTCCTTGGCAACTTTAAATTATTAAAGTACAGATCTGACCTTATTTTAAGTTTTCTTTTATTGAGATGATTTTTACCTTTATTTTCTGACTTTTCCCTAGTTCTAAGCAGCTGTGCCTCTACCCGCATCAGTATTGCTATTGACTTCTCTGTTTATATCAGTAAAACCAAAACGAGTCTTTTTCTCTCTGAATTAGGTTGCAGCTGTTGTTAAATCATTAGCTTATTATGGCACTTTGATTTATATCTAACTAGCAAACTAACGAATAAGTTAAGTTACTAACTAGAATTGCTTTGCTAAGCACTTGTCTCACATTGTCTAGATGGGATCAGGTACCAGTGTAGGCGTATAAGCCAAGCTTGACATTTCCCTTTCAAAGGCATATGTGATTAATGGGGCATTTCATTGCTGCAAGTGAACTCAGGCTTGTTCCACCCCTGAATGAAAGTATTGAAAAAAAGTGCAATGACTTACATAGATTCTCTTTTCTAAGCAACTTTCCTAGGTAAATTCTTTCTTACTCTTCTGCACAAGGTAGCTTTGTTAACATGCATTCATTAGATGCCCCTATAGAAACATATTTGTAGATACATCACAGATGCTCATACAGAAATATACTTATAGATATGGCCATAGTTTAATACAGCCATTGACTAATTTAACCAAGCACACAGACATGTAAGGGTGAAGCTCAGCCCTTTTTCACTGGCATCTGTAAGGAATGCATGTCTTTCTTCTGTAACTTACTGATGGGCTGCAAACTCAAGGTCAGGGATGCGCTAAGAATGAACGATGTAAAAAAAGCAACCTAAGGTAATTGCTGTATATTCCCCTGCATTCCTCAATGAGCCTGAATCAAACAGTGATTGAGTGGAAGGTACCACTGACCCAGGGAAAGTCATTGCTGGCTATAGCAAGAACAGGGTTTCACTTTACAGAGGACATGGAAACAAGAGGAAATCCCTCTTGTGCCAGGAGAGAGAGCAGGCCTGCAAGACAGGCTTTTCATAGAGCTATCTTTTATATTTCTCAGGTTTGCACATTTTCCCTTTGGGGAAAAAAAAGAAAGCATTATTATTGTTATTATTATTATTGTTATTAATACAGAATGCTTTGGGTCAGCTATTTAATATAGATTCACCGGCGACATCCTTCCTTTTGCCTGCTTTTAGTGAGCAAGGGTCAGTTAGCTGATACCAAAGTAATCTTCCTGAAATGCCCCTTTCATCAAGGACAAGGAAGAGATAACTCTAGAAGCATCTGCTGCTTAGACACTTGCTTTAGGTAGGGTAAATACCTAAATACATGAAACCAAGTGTCAGTCAGACTCAAGGCAGTAGTTCACTGCGTGGCCAATTCCTTGCATAATGCAGAACATATGCAGTGTTTCTGTTCATGCTAATAATGAAGAAAAGCTTTCTGGTGTTTCCATCCATCCAAGGGCCAGCCAAGTTGGCATGAAGGAATGCAGTGACCACCAGCTCACCTCAGGGCAATACTACCAAGGAGCTGGGCCAGGAAAGGTTGCATGGATTTATTCCCTTGCTGTGCTGGGTGCATGGTGGCTAAGACACCTGTCCTTGCTTAGCACCACTTGCCAATTGCTGGCACACTTCCTCCAAAAGAAAGAGGCTACAACTCGAGCCCACACAGAGGGCAGAAACGCTAAGCAAATGAAAGCATGTGGCAGTCATGCAGCGTGCTACTCTTCCAGGAGGTTTAAAGGAAAGGCTGTGGCTGCAAAGGGAGAGATACCTGTGATAAAGGGTATAACATAGGCTTTTATGCTGCAGGCTGGGCTCGCGCAGCTCAGGTCCTGCTCCCCAGGCCTTTCCCTCCCCAGGGCAGCCATGAGGCAGCACCAAGATGGCTGCCAATGGTCTCTGGTTGCTAGGCAACACCCCAGGCCTCCCTCAGCACCCGCCATCTTGGCCGCCATAACTGTGAGGGCACCATGAGCGCCTTGCCCACAAGGCCCCGAGCATGGTGCTCCAGAACGGGCATCCGTGACTGGGGCCCAGGTGCTTCAAAAAGCCGCTCTGGCACCAACAGCTCCTCCTTGCAGTGGCTACCATGCCAGTGAAGGTTTGCACTTGTGTTTACTGGGGTTAGGAGGCAGCAGGAGCGCAAAATTTGTTCCCGAGGCTTCCTGCTATGAGGAGTTTTATGGATTGATGAGAGCTCAGCAGGGAAACGAAGATGTTTCCATCAGCCTGCAGGAGGCAGATATTTGTGCTTTTGCCTTCATGGTGTCCTGGCCTGTGTGTGCACTGCCAGGTAGCTACAGAAATAGCAGGATGTGGCACCACTAAAAAACACAGGAAACAAACAAAATGAAGAAGATGAAGAAGGAAGGAAGGAAGGAAGGAGCCTCAAGTTTAATGGGAGATTTGCAAACTCCTAAGGGGCAGAAGACTTTCCTGCCCCTGGATATGCAGCCTGTGTACGAGCAGTTTGCTCTTTGGGCACCAGGCTCACTCGAACCCTGTGCAAGATACATAGAGTCTTTCCCAGCACTTCTGTTGACGAGGAAATAGCGTCTCCACCTCTCAGACACCCCAAAGAAACAGTGTTTTCTCCTAGAGGGAATTAGTTCCATCTTCTCCTTCTTTATCTCCTTAAAAAGAAAAAGGATGTGCTAGATTTTCCTCATCTTACCCACCTGTTTCCAACTGAGAGATGAAAATAGCTCATTTGTGTACCCCTCTGCTACATACATATACCTCTGGCAGCTTAGATTTTCCTTAGCCTGACCTCCTTCATTCTTTTTTCTTCTTTTTGTTTTCCTTTTTTTTTTTTTTTTTGGTTCATTGCCATTCTCTTCGTGAACATGAGTAAGGTAAAGGCAGAAGAAATGCTGTATTTAAAGATAGACTGCACTTCTAATTTTTCTTGCTACTAAGGCGCCAACAGAAGAAAAGACACTTGACAAGTAATAGGTCTGAGCCTGGGGCACAACACGAGCATTCAGTTGTGATACCAGCCTAGCATCCTAAAGGAAGTATAATGAAAAAGAGATAGATAGGTGCCAGCTTCATAGTAGAACTGGTAACGAGTTGTGCTTCCCAGACATTAGAAGTAAATGCGGTAAATTTCATTACTGTTTTGGCATCTTCTGTATATGTAGAACTGCCTAATGAACCAAATGTTAGCTATAATGGATTTTTTAAAATATGTAGTTTTAACGGCACACAAACAAAGCTCATTGCTGAAAACCCCTTTACCCTGCCTTATTTCACCTGGACTTCTTTTCCTGTCCAGAGAAGCAGCTTTGACAGAAGCTGCAGTGAAAACACAAAGTAAGTTCTAATCCCCGTGCTCTTGGAGGACACATCCTGCCTTCACCTTCAGGGCTGAGCTGCCTCTGACCATCACAAAAACGACAGGAAAATGGTACTTGGGTCTGGGCCTCACTGTCATTTAACTGATTTAACTCTATTTTTGGCTTCGAGGTCCTACTGAGGCAGCATGGCCCCCTCCTCACCTAGTGATTTAGGCT